CTCACAGCAAGAAGCTGTGTTTGTTTTATGTACAGGAGTGTTTTGACTGTCCCCATAGGCACTTAGAAGAGGGCATCCTAGAACTGGAGTTAAAGACGATCGTGAGCCACCACGTGTTACCCAGGTCTTTTGTCAGAATTTAACATAACCTCAAAAATTGAGGAAAACTATAAAATATGTATCAGAAAAGCTTATGTAAAATAAAATATCAGAGAAGATAGTTGTCTTCGGGTGGCACTCAAAGTCTTTCACTGATGTATTAATGTCAGTTCAGTTCAGCAGACCTAGGTTTTGGCACTGTGCTGTATTTTATACTGTGTGTACAAAGGTGAGTTACAACACAGTTGGAAAAAGAAAAGCGACACATAAGAAATAGATAGGCTCCACACTGGAAAGTGTAGCCTTGAGCTGCAGGAGGAGACGAGGGCATGCTACAAGACAGCTAGATCCTTTTTCTCTATGGAAGCAGAGGAATCTGAGCTGAGAGTCTTCATACTTACTACATGGAAGGGGCTGTGACAGAGAGTTGAAGAGCTTATACTGGAGCTGGGGTCGGTGGAGGGAGGGAGGGTACAGGGATCTTTTTGTTATCTAACTTACAGTTGGTTTAACTTTTGAGTGTAACTTAGCTATGTTACTTAGACAAAACATTTTTAAAGTTCTGAGTCATATTTTTCTAGACAGCACTCAAGAGATAGCTTTTCCATGTCCTTCGCCATGAGCAAACATTCAGTCCCTCATTTAAGCTCAGGCAAGGGTTCTTCAAAGTGAAGCACTTACGTATTTGACTGGCTTGCTTTCCACTCCCTCTGCTAGACAGCTAGCTTCATAAAATCAGGAGAGACTGTTTCTGTCAGAACCTCTCTCCTGGACTAGCCTCTCCCATGTATGGGAGACTACCCACGTAGGGGATTACTGGAATGAATGAACTGAGGGTGAATCACGAGGTTTGTCAGCTCAAGTTTCACAATCTTGATGGCTTAAAAATTCAAATGTACTATCTCAGATGTGACAGTCTATCTATAAGGTAAACATTATTTTATATCTTTTTAAAGTATAATCTCACATAATGCTCTTAGGATTTTATGGATTTGGGAAAATGCTTTTTATTTAAAAGTACATTCTAGGTTACAGATAATCAGAACTTTAATTGCTTAAAAGAAGACAAGCTTGTTTATCATTTGGGTAGCTAGCTATCGGGATTGTAACGCCTTGATTCTGGTAGGTCTATGTTTACTTCCTTCACTGTCCTAAAAGCTCCTCTTAGTTTGCTTTGAGAGAACAGGTATTTACTACATTTGATCCCTTACTGTATTAGAAGATTACTCATTTTAATATTTTAATCCTGTGGTAACCTAACAAGCAGAGTAAAGTCGACTGCTCTTGAGAGGGAACATTTGGTCTGCCCTCCTGGCTGTGTGTTAGTCAAGAGAATGTCCAGGCAGCTGTGGGCAGATGGTAGGATAAAGTCTCAGCCTAAGCACTGCCCTGCTCTCTGTGCCAATCCCCATTTAAAGTGACAGAGCATCCAGCAATCACATTGTTCTTTCAAGAATTCATTTTTTAAACCCAAACTTTTGCTATTTAATTCAGTCTTATTTTTAATGTTAACACTCTCCTCGTAAGAATATAGACTACCTAAGACCTTTGACCTATGGCTCCCGCTATCTCATCCTTGAGTTAATGTGGCCTAGTTTAAATGATTACAAATGAATCTGATATAATGCAGCACATACTTCCCAGGCTAACTGACGTGATTCGAATCTTTTAAATCTCTCTTCCAAAGAGCACCTAATCAGAGGTAATCACTAGTCATGTGGCTTCACCGCACAGAGAGCCCTGTGATTGGTGTGTGCTGTGTCCTAAAGGGCAACGGGTAGATATGATGGGGGGGATGCACACCTAGAGCTCTGTTAGGTAATCTATAAGAGAGTACAAGGGGAGCTGACAACCAAAGCTGGAAGGTTGAAATGAGATCTTGGTACCCGCAGGGCCGCCTGGACGTTCTATTGACTAAAACACAGCCTGGGGGTGGGGGCAGACCAAATGCTCCCTCTCAAGAGCTTCTTTACTCTGCTTACATTACCATAGGATGAAAATACTAAGCTACCTTCTGTTGCTGTGATAAAACATTCTGGCCAAAAGTATTCTGAGGAGGAAAGGGTTTGTTGTTTTGTTTTGTTTCTCTTCAACTTTCACTTCCAGGTCATGTTCCATCATTGAGGGAAGTCAGGAAGTCAGGGCAGGAACCTGAAGACAGACTGCATGCTATTCCATACAGCATTACCTCTGACCAGAGGAGAGACTCAGAGGAAGAAAGTTGCTTGCTGTCTGGCTCACTCTCTGGATCCATGCTCAGCTGGCTTCTTTATACATTCCAGGCCTACCTGCCTTAGGATCATGCCACCCACAGTGGGCAGTTATCAGTCCAGACAGTCCTTTACAGACACACCCACAGGCCATTCTGATCTAGGCTGTTGACTACAACACTCAGTTGACTCTGTTTTGTCAGGTTGACAGTAAAAACTAACTAACATGTATACCTTAAAAGTTAGCCCAAATATTTATTATATCTCTAAGTAATGAAAAGTCCAGTTCAAAAAATTATCTTCTAATAATCAGGGAATTGGCCCACATAACTACATCCATCCAGAACCCGGCAAGCTCTGTGATATGGTTAACCTCCCAGCTCGGGCTTCCTGTGGAGTGCTGCTCTCCTCCATGAAGGACTGGTTTCGTCTTACCAGCTGGGTGGCCCAGAAATCCAAGAGCTCGTACTTTCATGAAAAATAAAGACAAGTGACAAGGTAGACTTAGTTTTCCCACGAAGCTCTCTTAAGCCATAATACAGCTCCCAGCATCATCTCCTTGTTCTGATTTGAGCCTGCTGTACCTGAGAGAGCAGAGCAGTGTCTGAGGGCAGACTCCTGTGGCTCCATAACAGGAGGGGACTTTTTTTTTTTTTCCTTTTGAGACAGGGTTTCTCTGTGTAGCCTTGGCTGTCCAGAACTCACTCTGTAGACCAGGCTGGCCTCGAACTCAGAAATCCGCCTGCCTCTGCCTCCCAAGTGCTGGGATTAAAGGCGTGCGCCACCACTGCCCAGCTTTTTTTTTTTTTTAATCTAAAGAATCTTAGTACTTGGATGTTACTGTGCTGTAGAAGGAAAATTACTGCTAATACTGCAGAATCATGTCAAGAAGTATTATGTTATCAGAAAGCTAAACCTCAGAAATTTATAGAACCCTTCACTTAAAAGTAAAACCTGATTTTTTTTTCAGTTTTAATGTTTAGGTTTAAGACATACCATAGTACAAAGACAAAGTTAAAGGACATTTTAAGGCCATTTACATTGGAAGAAAGAAAAGAGACAAATGACTGACTTGCCTATGCCCAAAACTATACTGGCTAAGAATTATAGCCCTTTATTCTGCTTGGAATCTGCCATATTCACAGAGCTGTAGTGGAGTCTGTACTTGATCTATGGCTCCCACTCTTTCATTTCTCCTTCAGGGGGTCCTCTCTGTGTTGCAGCAAGTCATGTCTTCACAGTTCTGTGGAGACTTAACCCCTCTTCGTTTGTTGACTGAGAACTGTTACCAGATGAAAGAAAGGCTGTGAAGAAAAGGTGTTCCTGTGCCCTTGAAGGCGAGCCCCTGCCTTCAGTCCCTAGTACCAGCTCCTACTTGCTTTTCAGATTTTATCCACAATTTATCATTGGAAACCCTGCCACCATTATAACAGTAAATATGAAAGTCAGCCTCCACTCATGACCCAGTCCTGAACTTTACATACACTTTCTCTGAAGGTTGTGCTGTTCACTTCCCGCCTTTACTTTTACTCCATGGACCACAGTGATGGCAGGACACACACCAGAATCACATCATACTACTCAATTATGATTATCCTCATGATTGCAAATCGTTTTGTTAAGATTAATGTTAAAATGAAGGCACAAGATTGCTGAATACTAAAAGGACTCATGGATGGACTCCCAAGAACTGGGATAGGCTAGTTGGGAAGTACTGCTGACCATGGTCCACACTAAATCCTAGTCTTCTGGTTTTGTTTCTGTTTTGTTGTTTGTTTGTCTATAAAGAGTATTACGCCAGGCAGTGGTGGCGCACGCCTTTAATCCCAGCACTTGGGAGGCAGAGGCAGGCAGATTTCTGAGTTTGAGGCCAGCCTGGTCTACAGAGTGAGTTCCAGGACAGCCAGGGCTACACAGAGAAACCCTGTCTCAAAAAACAAAAAAACAAAACATAACAACAACAAAAAAAACAACCAGTATTACCCTACAGTCCACACTGATCTGGACCTCACTTTGTAGCCCAGGCTGCCCTTGAACTAGAGCTAACCTTCCTGCCTCAGTTTCTGGAGGGCTGGGATTACAGGCATGGGCCATCACACTCAGCTACCTAAGAGCCTTCCGATTGCTGTTTTCTACTTTAAAAATCTCTTTGTTGGGGCTGAAACCATAGCTCAGGTGTACAGTGATGACCTAGCACATTCAAAGCCTTGGATTTGATCCCCAGTATCACAAAAACAAGGAGGAGCCTGGAGAGATGGCTTCAGTTAAGAACACTTGTTCTTGCAGAGGACCCAGGTTTGATGCCCAGCACTCACATGTCAGCTTACAGCTGTCCGTAATTACAGTTCCAAGGAGCCAATGCACTCTTCTGATCTCCACAGGCACACACATGGTACACAGACATTTGATCAAAACTCTCATACACATAAAACAAAATAAATAAACTTAAAAAAAAAACTCTTCCCTGTTCATAAACCCAGTATTTTGATATACTTAGTAAAAAGGTGTCTGTTTGGGCAGATTTTGTCTGGTTTTCACTTTCTCATAGAGCAACATTGCTAAGGAACATTCTTTGCCTAGCACTTCAACCACTTTGTGTGTGTGATTCATTAAATAAAGCTAAATTAGGGTTCTGTGTAGTTTTCACTTCTGAATTAAAGCAGTTCTTTTTATCTTTCTGAATCTTCACAGGATTTTCCCAATTGCAGATGTGCCCTTGGAGACTGAGGACCTCACCAGCTGGCTCTACCAGCGCTTTATTGAAAAGGAGGACCTCCTGTCCCATTTTTATAAGACAGGTAAACCACACCTCACCTGTGCACAGTTCTGAAGTTATCAGAGATTCTGAGCACTTGCTGCAGACAAGATAAACATTTTTTAGTTATTCTCTCTTATTTTTAAAAGATTTAGTTTTTAATTATGTGTGGGGTGGGGGATGTCTGCCTGTGGGTATGTGCTGGTGAGTACAGGGCCAGAGGAGGCCAGAGGCTTCAGAACCCCCGGAGCTGGAGTTAGAGACGGTTGTGATGGAGGTAGAGATGTCCCAGCCTCATATGGGCGCTGGGAACAGAACTCAAAACCTTGGAGGAACAGCAGACCCTCTTTAACCCTGGACTACCTCTCCAGCTCCCTACTCAGTTATTTCGATCAGAAATCAAAGCCATTCTATATTTAAGAATTTAAATTTATAATTTATGGAAAGAAAAACTGGTGTTGATGCATTCCAGTTCTTACGCTCTTGCTCAGCATTGTCTGACAGGCGTGACACACAGTGCCACAGCTCAAGTGCACAGTGACAGACAAAGGTGAGCTTGTTGGAGAGTGGAATGACAAATGAGGTCACGCTGATGTCATGCTCCGTTGTTTAGTAGTCACTTGAGGTCATTTTAAGCTGCATTTTTACATGCTTTCCCCTCCCTTTCAAGGAGAGGTTTATTCTGAGCATGTGTTTGGTTCGGTCACTTGGCCCCATTGCTGTGGTGGCAGCAAATAGATGCCCTTCTCTCAACAGAAAGCAGAAGAGCCACGGTTACTTGCCTTTACAAAAAAGGGCACCGTTTACTGTTTTCAAGGGTACAAAGTTGTTTCTCATGGAGAGGGAAAGGAAATCTGTCCTTACTCCTTTTTATTCTCAGTATTCTGTATGTTCCTTAACTACAGAGTCCCGGTAGCACAGGCCTGGGAGATTGAAATAGGAGTATCCCAAATTCAAAGCCTTCCTTAGTAACTTCCTGAGACCTTGTTGCAGAATAAAAATTACAATTCAGGCTGGAAGTGTGGCTCAGTGGTAGAATGCTTGCCTAATGTGTGTGAAGCTCTAGATTGAGTCCCAACACGAAAACAAAAAACAAAAAATATAAGGAGAAAGACGTGTGACGGAAGAAGAAAGGGAGTTGGAAAGACGAAATTAAAATTTACATTGGTTGGCACAACTAACATGCTTTCACAAACTGCTGTGCTATAGGCCTTTCTTTCTTTGTTTTTTGTTTGTTTGTTTGTTTTCTGTTTGTTTTTTTTTTTTTTTGGTTTTTTCGAGACAGGGTTTCTCTGTGTAGCCCTGGCTGTCCTGGAACTCACTCTGTAGACCAGGCTAGCCTCGAACTCTCGAACTCAGAAATCCGCCTGCCTCTGCCTCCCAAGTGCTGGGATTAAAGGCGTGTGCCACTACCACCAGCGCTATAGGCCTTTCTTAGTGCCTAAACAATGGAGAAGGGATATAGAGGTGGCTGTGGAAGCTGGGGTTAATGAAAAGGCTTAGCAGGCAGCATGGGGTGATCTGAGAGTAGCGAGTAGGAACGTCCCACCCTCAGTCTCTTGCCTTCTGCTATTTGGCCTAAACTGTAGCAACAGTAGTGAGCGGCTTAAAGAAGTTCAGCTGTGCACCTGTACACCAGACCTTGAGACTTGGGAATGCCCCTGTGAATTGCTCGTGAGCAGCAAATCCTTTTATAGGCAGCTTACCCCGGGGATTATCAGCAAGGGCAAAGACGGAATGCTGAGAGTGTCTAGATGATCTTGGTAGACTTACCAAAGCCATGTAGCTTTCTTTTCCAGAAAAAGTGGACTTGTTCACTCTGTATTGTCGTCTTTCTTATTGTGAAGACATATTTTGTAAAGCTTACTGTATTTTGAGAATGTCAGTGTTGTATAACTACTTTTGTAGCCCCCCCCCCAAAAAAAAAAGTGCTATCCAGAAATGACTTGATGTCAGTTTCACAGATCCTGTGTCTGACCACAGTGGAAACTGTACGTGGGAAGCAATGCACTGGACACTGACAGTCAGCAAACTACAGAAGAAAGCAGATAGGACCACTGAAGACTGGGAGGCGGGGAGACAAGGCTGGAGCGGGCCTTGCCTCTGATCTAGGACCGATGCTAGTGACAGTTGTTCACCCAGTGGGCAGGAGAGTGCGTGGCGGAGGTTGGGTTGCTGAGCAGGGTAGGATCTGGAAAAGTGTGTATTAGAGGAAATCCCTGCAAAGGAGGGCAGTTCACAGGAAGTCCTAACTGGGCGAACCAACTCAGCTTGTATTCAGGAGACTGGCGCTGCAGGAAAGCATATCACTGTTTCTGTCTTGTCTCCTAGGAGCCTTTCCTCCTCTTCAGGGCCAGAAGGAAGCTGTCTCCAGAGAGATGACCCTCAGCAACGTGTGGATAGTCCTCATCCAGTCCTTCGCCTTTCTGTCAGGCTATCTGTGGTACCACGTCATTCAGTATTTTTACCATTGTCTCTTTTAGGAACTGACTTGGACTTACTACATAGGAGTTCAGACTTCTTCATACATGTGCATTATTTTACATGTGCAAATCAAAATATACAAATCAAAATATATAAAAAGAGAAGGAAATTCGATGGATGGATTAATGTTTATCCCCCTCTGGGATATTTTAAAACTCTCCTACAATGAGGATCAGTAATACAATGATGTGCTAATATATTTTAAGAACTTTTCATGTTTTAAAGAGATACACTCTACCATACACTTACGCAAGCATCACACTGGGAGAAGAGGAAACCATAAAATCATCCTAGAAGACTCCGAAAGAAACTATCGCCACCAGATGCACTTAGTCAGCCCCTGTGACTTGCTTGTGACCTTTAGTTCAGGTTCAGAAGCTATGCTCCTCTTTCCTAGGACAGAGTGCCACAACATTAATGTGTCTACCCTTCATGCTGAGGTACTGGTAGCCTGGAGAGCTGGTGGGCACATCCTGAGGAGTGGTCTTGCCATCTGGCAACCCTGGCTAAGGTGCAGCATTGGTATTCTCTGTGGGGAGCAGTGTCCACTGTCCACCTGGCGTCACTGTGTCCTTTGAAAGGCTAGCTCAGCCCAGTACCATGTTTACATGTGCTAGTGCTTTCCCTTCAGGAGAGGGGAGCACCCACTTTCTCTTTTTGTATAGAAGGCATATCATAGAATGATAATTGTATTTTACAAAATGCACTTTTATCAGATGCAGATCTAGCAAAGGATAGTAACCTAGCCTGAAACCAAGGGAAGCCTCACCCGTGAGCAGGCTCCCAGGAGGCTTTCCTATCTGTGCTTGCCCGTGATGCTCTAGCACCACCTTCATTGGCCACCTCCCTGACCCCACTCCCCTACTGGTAGCTGGATCCCCTCCCCGATTTTGATATTATAGCACCAAATGTATGTGGGGGCGGTTAAAGCAAATTAACATAAAACATTTAAATGACCAGTTTCAGGGAACTAGAGTAGCTTATTAGGAAATAAGAGGTAGAACCAGACCTTGGCTTGCAATATTGACAAGGTCTGTTGTGGACCCCAGGATCTAAATGTTCTGTCATTACGTCAGCAGCTGCCCCTCTCAGGGTGGCAGGACCAAGAGACAGCAGCTCACAAACACTTCCCAGTCTCTTGCAGTTGTCTTCTGAGAGAGCAAAGTCAAGCAAGTTTCTGTTCATTGTAGAAAACTTTTTAAAGATTGTCATTTTGTTCATGTGATTTACCTCACAGGAGAACCAGACTTTACAAAGACGCAGGCTCTGCATCAGTGTTGAGATAGAGGGGGGTTTGGTTTAGGATAGTAAAACTCCTAAGCTTGAGCACCAGTAAGTCAGCAGTAGTTTTCTGTGGCATGAACACTTTGTAGATTCCCCTATTGTTACTAACAACATAAATAACAATTCTGAGAAATCAGTTGTAAAACAAAAGTAAAGATTAATGTTTTCTGTTTTCAAATAAACCAAGAAAAGAAAAAGGAAAGATGTGAATTTTCCCCAGTTGTGTGGGAAAGGTTGACCAACAACAAATAAAAGCCCGTAGCAGCTTCATCCTTAGCAAACGCCAAGTGTGCGCAGAGAGAAAGATGTTACCTGAAATACCTCACTGGTACCACCGCACTGCTGGTAAACTGAAGAAGGCATTTGGTTTGTTAGCAGTTGTCATAAAAACCTAAGCATTTTACTGTGGTTTACAGGGACAGTGAATATGGGAAAGCAGGTTCAGTCTAGAAACAAAGGGAAGCCAGAGAGAAGCTGCTCAGGGCCTCTATTGGAGGCCCAGGAAAAGCTTGTGAGTTTCAGGATGAATTGAATTGAGACATGAGTTGGTTGTCTGGGGGAGAAGTTGCTCACTGTCAAGTGTAGCATGTAGTCCGAGCTAGTAGACCATTTCCTCGTTGCAAAGCAGGCCACAGACTCCAGTGGCCAGTTCCTATACGGATGTATGGATCCTTATCTATATGTGCATACAGAGATGTGACTGGCCCGCTTTTACCACTGCTGTGCTGCAGAGGAATATGACAGTTAAGTATAGTATACATGCAAAGTTCACTCTTCCGAGATGTGTCACTTTCAAATCCAGTTTGGTTTCCAGTCTCTAAAGCGACAATGACTGTAGGTTTGTGAGCTGACTTCTGATAATAGAGACAAGCTGTAAATAGACGTGTTTGGTCTGTCCCACATCTCTCCAGTTCAACGTGTCTTCTGTGTACAAAACAATCAGAACTGTGTGTTGAGGGTATTGATTCCGTATCATAGCTGGCATCCACCTGCTTGTACTAGGGAATGCAAAGAGAGAGTAAATAGGCATTCTTTATGGGCATGTCTGGAGCCACGCGGTGCACCGGAGAGAGAGCTGGTAGAACTCCCCATTGTACTTAGTGTGTAAAGTGAGATGCAAGGAGGCTTCTGTAGTGAGTCGGGGGAGGGGAGCAGAGCCGTGCCAGCTGACACCGCACCCTTTCTGGCTGCAGCTCTTTTTGCCCTCAGCTGCATTGCCTGGCTTCCTACCACACACAGGCTGGGCGACTCAGTGCTAGAGTTCCTGGACCACAGGTGGGACCAGCAACAGCTCACCTCATTTCAGAAATGGCTGTCTGCAATGACAGCGAAGCCTTCGAGCAGAGGAAGCGGAAAAGCAAGGCAGGGATGGAAACTTGAGTAGATAAACAAGTTAGACGAGTGATAGCTGTGGGTTCAGATCTGTCATGTTATTAGTTCTTCATGTTACAACCCTTAATTGCCTACAGTAAGAAACTAGGGGATGCTGAAGAAGTCATCAATTACAGGGTAGTTAATCCAGTGTTAAGTCATAGGAAGCCAAAAATTCAATTTTCTGTAGGAATTTCTGATTTTTTTACTTTCATTGAACTTTTCCTCCTAGGGAGGCTTACTGCTTTAAAAGTTGACTAGTTCTTTCCCTGACTAACTTTTGTCTGTGCATTATAACTGTGTTAATGGGTAGTTATGAAACAGGAAGTCAAAACAACCAGCTGGAGAAGAAAGCACCAAAGCCAATGGGCGTAACCTGAGGGCTGGAAAAGACAAAAGTTGGTGCAACTGGAATTGTCCCAGAGGTGGAGTCTTAAGTCATCCATCATGGCCCTCAGGGGTGGCTGTGATGTTGCTGTCTGGGTCAACGTTGAGAATGTTCCCTCGCTCACGGCCATGTGGTTTTCTTCTCATTAATTCTTCTTAGTGATGTATTTTGACAATCGGTACCTTAAAGACTTGCTCAGCTAGTTGTTCCTAGTTATAACCACAGAGAATAGTCTTTGATCATAGGTAGTCTTCTGTATCCTGTGTATGTTGAAAGAGAAAATGTTTGTTTGCATTACTGAATAGGAAGGGTTAACTGATCTTCTCTGTGGTTTTTCATCCTTTTCTTTGAAGTCACTATACAATAATGATCACAGGATTTCACTCCAAAGTTGTCATTACAAAAAGTGTATTTGCTCTGGTTCACAAAGGATGGACAATAATGGTCTTTGACGAGATTTTTGCCCTGCAAGTGCTCTGAGCCTTCTACCTATCAGCAGGCAGGAGAGAGCCAGACAAGCACTGTGCAGCAGGTGTGCTAGTTCACGTCATGAGGGGTAGAGACTAATGTGTTTGGGACCAAAAGCACCTAAGTTGGGACTTTCTGGATCACAAAAGAGCCTGGCATGCTCTGGAGCAGCCCCTGGCTGTTGCCGTCTGTCTGGTGTCATCTTGCACCAGCCCTCAGTGATTTCAAAGTGGGCTCTGAGAATATGCTACAAGTTCCCAGTTGTTGGGGGAGAATGGCCATAGTCAAGTGAAAGATGCAATCTGGAGTTTTCTGCAGAAATTCCATCTGAGGATTTTTACATTTAATATTTTTTTTAAAACAATCTAAAGAGCAAAAAAAAAAAAAATTACATGTATTCTAGTTGCAGAGTATGCAGATGCTTTGGATGGCTTTGTTTTTATTGTGTAAAACTGTTGAACACAACTGTGGTGCACAAATTCTTTCCATGTAAGGAGTCTATGCATTTTACAGTAACATATCTTATGATTGAGTAATGAGACAGTTATACATTCAACTGCCATTATTTTTATGAAGTGCTTTCACTTTCTTTACAGTTACTACAAGGTTATATTTATTTTCTGCAGATGGGTTTCTGTTTCCATGATGCTGTAATGTTTACTTCAGCTTGTTGAGCTTTCTTTGTGATCTGCATGTCACAATGTGTGTTCTAAGGTGACTGTAGAGGCTGTGACAACTGTAACTCACTTTTGTAAAGGGCTGGTCACCTGTGGATCTGGTTTCTGAATGCATCGGGAATGATTTTACCAGATCACCTTTTCAGAAATTTAGATGTTGTAAACACCAAAAGAAGCATTTTCTCAGCAAAGATTAATAGCTGGTTCTATTTTTTTTTAATGTAGAGAAAATAAAGTTGATTTCTTTTTTTTTTTTTTTTCAAAAACAATGCTTCTAATTCTTACTAGTGGGGGTGGATGTCTGCTGTGCGGGCTCCTAGCACTCACTGCTGTAGCCCAGGCCCGGAGCTCAGCATTACGGCCGCTGAGAAACCGTCAGATTCCTTCCTGAGGTTAGAAAGACTCGCCCCTTCCTCTGATCTTCTCATTTGGTGTGAGCTCTTGGAAAAAAATTATGTAAATGCACATCCATGTATGATAAATTTTGGTGATTTTGCTGATAATATATTTAATGCAATTAGCAAATAATCAAATATAAATAATTGATCCTTACAATATAATTATCATTGCTGAACCCTCAGAGCCAACCTGTGACAATATCAACCATGATTTGATTGATAGCTTTATGCCCTGATGTACTAACCATCTCCAGATAAACTCACTCAGTCTAGTGTATGATTTATATTAGACTCTTACCCTTGTACAGAACCTCCTTTTAGTTTCAGCATTAATTGGAAATTTAGATGATTTATTTTTCATTGTATTAAAGCCTAGAATTAAATGACCGGCTCTTAGAGACAAGCTGGCACTACCTTCATCACACCATGTCCTGGTCGCTTGTGTTTTGATTTGTTTTAGTTACTAGTGTTGAATAAAATTCTCAGAATTGATTTGCTCACTTGTCCAAGAAAACTCCTGTCATTGGCCCTTGCAGGTTTTAAAGTGGAAAAGGACTGAGACCAGAATGAGCAAGGGAGCTTTCGATCCTGGAAAGCCCGACAAAATCAGGCTTCCCAGGGAGCATGGGGCCAGGGACCAGCACGCCGAGTTTCTCAAAGCTGAGTAAATGTGTACACTATCACTAAGGGGTTTTTTTTTTTTTTTGACATTAAAAACATTGATGGTTTAGTCACTTGTTTGTAGAATGTGTTTGACCCATTGAAAACGTTTAATGTATTAAAATATCTTGCACAATCCTACCAAATAAGTTGAATAGTTACAGTTGAGTCTACCTCTTCTTTTCTTGGCTGGATTTAGGCTGCTGGTTGGGTGAGGCTGTAGTTTTATTTCCCCTCTAAAGTACTTTACGCGGAAGACAACAGATTAAGGGCCTGAAAGCAGATTTGAGGCTTGTTGAGATCTGTTGCTGACCAGCCCTGTTCCCCATGAGTCTGGGGAAAGCCATTGTTTTTAATGCCCACTTAATATGAAAATGTTTGTTTTAAAAATGTTTCTTGCTGGTGAAAAATGTATTTTTAAAAGGAAAAACCAAATCCTCTTTTGGTCTGAGAAGTCAGCTGTATGTGCAGGTGTGACCGTATCATAACATGCTGATGTCATAGAAATCAATAAATTTTTACCTCTCAGGAACTGGGTGGCCTTGTTCTTAACTCTTAGAGGCTGGGAAAACAGACCCGAGGTGTCTGCAGTTCAGGATGCACAGATACTCACAGATGCAGCATGGAGGCGGGGAGGAGCCGGCTGGCCACCGAGCTGTGCGCCCCTTTCATAGTCAGAAAACCATTCTTCAGTGGGTGCAGTTGAGCCAGTGTACAAGGGAGAAACTGAAACTGTGTGCTTGACTAACTCTGGAGGCAGGGATAGGCACTCACTGTTTGGCTGAAGCAGAAGAGTTAGTTACTTTTATGTGTATGAGTGCCGTGTTCATGCTGCTGGCCCCTGACGTCAGAAGGAAGCATCCACTCCTCTGGGACTGGAGTTACAAACAGTTGTAAGTTGCTGTATGGGTGCTGGGAATTGAACCTGGGCCCTCTGGAAAAGAAGCCAGTACTTTCTGGGGGTGAGGGGGTGTCAGGGCAGGGGATGGCATTCCAGACAGGGTTTCTCTGTGTAGCTATGTGGGTCCTGGTACTTGCTCTGTAGACCAGACTGACCTTGAACTCAGAGGTCTGCCTGCCTCTGCCTCCCGAGTGCTGGGATTAAAGGTGTGTGGTACAACACTGGGCTCAAGAAGCCAGTACTCTTTAACTACTGAACCCACCTCTGCAGCCCCACCTGGTGTTATTGAGGAAATGTGGAACTGACTGAGAGAGCATGCATATACCAGTTACTGGCTTGTGTTCCTTTGTTTCCCTTTGGTACAAAACTCTCAAGTCTTATGTGCAGTTTTCTGTCGGTTGATACTGTATCAGGACCAGCTGGTGGTCACTTGAGGGTAAAGAAAATAGGTACCCAAAAGGGGATTGGTCTGAAGAACTGGGGCGCTGAGAAGAGGAACCCCAGTTATTGGGTAATAAAGGGAAAAGCAGGCACTGTGGTCCACAGCAGATGTGCACACTCCAGACACACAGACTACAATGAAATTAGGACTAGAAAGTCAACTTCCATTTGTATATGTCTCTATTAAGAGTATGTAATGTCTTCTGTCTAGCCTGCATGTTATTCCACTTGTATGTCTGATGACTGTCCCCTGAACAGAAGAAAGGCATACCTAAGTCACTGGGAATCTCCCTCCAGGGGCCCAACAAGGGCACGTACGGTTCACAGTGCTGATGACTCAAGCTTCCTGTAACCAGGGCTCCTACGATCCACAATAAAGCTTCTTGTCTACTCTGGTGTGTACATGTTCCAGCGAGGACAAAGGGTGACACTAGTGTTTGGACCTGTCTTAGCTACGTTGGATGGTGATGTGGGACAGTGGGCAATGACAACTCGGCTTCCAAAAGCACAAGTAGCCAGCACAGCTTTGTGGAACGCAGCCCAGGAGCAGCAGCACTTTGACGAGGGACTGCCCTTCCCATGCGGAACCTGTTCCAGGAGGAGTAAGAAATCGTCTTTGAAGTTCCTTGGCTATTTGAATAAAGAACATAATTGTGGCCAGGAGAGTTCTCACCCTTGACAAATTTGCCAGCAGTATCACTTGAAAATGCTCTGATGCACAGGGTCCAATCCTCAGGACTGCGGAGATAAAAGCACTGTGAGGCATACTGTAATCCCCACCCTCAGGAAGGTGGAAGAAGCGGGAAGACAGAAAGCCCAAGGCTAGTCTGGACTGCATGGTGGTGGGTTGGAGACCAGCCTAGGCTGCAGAGTAAGACTCAACAGACTATGCATGGTTTGTGGCACTGACCAGCACATGGCTCATTGGCCTTTGGGGTTTCAGAGTTAGAGGGAACTTTGGCATTTCCTTCTCTGGGGTGTGGGTTTCCTTGTGCGGTTTCACTCAGTCACCAGTAGAGTTGAACAGCTGCTTTGAGAACTGAGGACTAACTGGTTCTCAATCCCTAAGTCGGAAGGTGGCATACTGTTCTTGCAGAAGACCCAAGTTAATTCCCAGCACCCTTGTCGGCCTGAATCTCCAGGGGCAGGGATCCTATATGTTCCTCTGACCCCAGCAGCACCACTCCCCTACACAGATACACATACATGATTTTAAATAGTCTCCTTTATAAAGAATGCCAAAGGTTAAATGTAAGTGTTGGTTTTTCGATTTTAGTTTTTTGAGACAGGGTTTCTCTGTGTAGCCCTGGCTGTCCTGGAAATAGCTCTGTAGACCAGGCTGACCACGAACTCACAGAGATCCCCCTGCCTCTGCCTCCCGTGTGCTGAGATTAAAGTGCTGGTGGATTTTGAAGTAAACATAATAGTCCCAAGCACTACAGGATAATCTCTTAGAATGGCTCCTGACATCTTAACCACTAAAAAAAAGTTTGAGGTCTGTGGCCTTTATCTTTTCCATGTGGAGGTGACCCGTGTTTTGCCCTATTCAGTTCGAGAGGGAAAGAACACTTTCATTTCAGACTGAAGGAAAGAAACTCTGGTCCCATAATATTTCCTGTTCTTGCTGAATTCTAGGTCTGAAACGGACAGAGGGCAACTAAGAGCATCTAGTGTCTTCTCTTTCCATCCACCGTCAAGACCCACAGACGAGGACCAGGACCTAGGACTCTGCCCATTGACAGATTTATTTTCTTCACAATTTCACTCCTTGTATGTCAAATGGGAAGTTTTCAAGGAATGATTTTCAGTATTAAATGAGATCTCATACCCGAGGCACAGAGAGTAGGTGTGCCTCTCTGTATTGAAGAAACGCTGATGAGCATGGCTATGCTGCTAGCCCCACACAAACTGTTCTAATGCCCCCAGACAGCAGCAGGAATGAGCTTCGGGGGCACGGAAACAATTAGGAGCTCAAGGAGTCTAGAGCATAGAAGAAACCGGATCAGCTAGACAGAAGACATTACATACTCTTAATAGAGACCTATTTTTGCTTCTGAGACGTGATGTCACCTGTGGTAAGGACCTTGAACTCATTATCAGAAGGAAGAGAAATATTTCTGGTATCTGGAAGCTATTCTCCAAGCCGTGGTCCCCTCTGCGTAGTTCTTATAATGGTAGCCATGGCACCAAAAGCCGATCAAACTTCAGAGAGGTCGGCATAGTCCTGAAAAGCTTTCTCTGTCTTGTGGCACAAATCCCTGAGGTCATCTTGAAATCTGACACTTTTACACTGTTAAGTACTGCACTGGGTGCTCAATTCTAAGGAACTGAAGAAGCACAGGAAGTAGGCAGTGTGGTTGGGTCTTGCTGATCCTAACTTGGGGATCAGGGTAGACTACAAAAGGAACTGGAAGGTGCCTGGGCCAGCAGGGATAAGAGCTGGCATTTTTAGCTGCTCTCACAGGTTGGAGTAGGTGTAGAGTTCAGGATTTGGTTGCACCTGTTTCCTCCAGTGTGGGTCTAGGGTAAACACCGCATGGTTCTGAAGCTTCTGTGCCGTTTCCTCGCCTGGCCTTTTTCACAGGCAGCTTGGTCCTCATCCCTCATGTGACCGGCGTTGCTGTTTGAAGCAGTTGTTCTGTTTTGTCTGTAGTTTCTGCATGTATTTCCTTGGTCAGTAGTCTGCATGCTTCTGCATTTTTCCCTGGGCAGTTGTGGAGAGGAGCTCTGGGACCCAGCTTGGTTCTTCCTCCTTTGAGTAGATGTCTCCACACACACAGAAGATCCCCTTTGGCTCCGACCGTCTTAGAACTGTCTGTCATTCAAAGTGAAGTACATCTGAGAGAAAGGCGCTCCACTGCCCGCAGCTTCATGGCGGGAAGATGTTAGTGCAGGAAAGTGCAGTGAAGACTTCAACTGAGATGAGCAGCCCAGGGCAGCTACAAGGAGAAGGCTGCTCAGGCAGGTTTGATGGTTTCCGTGGAGACTGCCCACCATGCTGCATAGAGGAGGGAACGTAGGGAGACCACTTGTATCTTGAAAGGGCTTAGGGAGCCTCAGAACTTGTCACAAGAGTGGAGTCCACGGGGACAGGCACTCTCTTGTCACTGGAAGAGGTCATACAGAGGCTGAGCTAGATGGTGCCAGGGTGAGCATGGGTGGGAGACTCCAGCTGGGGGGGGGGGGGGGAATCGGGGCCCTTCCTCCCCCGCCCCTCCCCCCCCCCCCCCCCCCCGTGTACCCTTGTCACAAGGAGTCTGATCAAAGCCTCCACTGTCCTGGCTTTTCTGTTGCTCTCAGAGGAGGGAGGAGCAGTGAGCTCAGCCTAACCCTAGCACAGAGTCTGTAGAGGCCTCTCACAGCGTAACTCACCAGAAACAGCCATCACTGGTGTGACCTAGTGCAAAGTGAAATTGCCGAGGTCCTGCCTCAAAGCAGTAAGAATTGTGTCAATGTTCAGAACACCAAATAAAGGGAGGGAGGTCACACTCTAAAAATGTCAGCCCTCCGGGTACCAGTATGGAGAGGTGAGATGGACACAGGGCCCCAGCCCTAGCCCAGAAGCTATCTGCAATTGCTGCCTGCTAGCAAAGGGAAAACCTGTGTTCTCCAAAGACCATGTCAGTGGGTGTGTCAGCCACACTGCGGGGCAGGCCCCTATCCAGAAGTAGTTGGTCATCCAGCACAAAACAACCTTCACATTGTTGGGCTTTTTGGTTGGTTGGTTGGTTGGTTGGGTTTTTTGTTGTTGTTGTTCTTATTGGGTTTTTATTTTGATTATTTATTTGAGAAAGAAAACATGGAGTTGAGTAATAGGAAGATAGAGTGGATCTGGGAAGAGTTGGGGGAGAGGAAAGCATGATCAAAATATATTGTATGAAAAAATTTATTAAAAAGAATACAGATGTTAAAAAATATAGATATATAGATGTCAGCCCTGCCACAAGGAAGAAATGAGGAAGGGAGAGAAGCCAGGTACCTGAGGGAGGAATCAGACCCCTGAAGTAGGGATCCCAGGCTGAGGAGGGGTGATGATCACTGAGGAGACCTCAGTGTTTGATCTCCGATACTCCTCCCATGTACAAGGTGCCCCAGAGAGTAGGAGTAAGAATGAAATGTTCAACTGTAAGGACCCCAGAATTGCCCCCAAGAAACAGGGCACCCAGCCAGGTTCTTACTGCCCCCTAAGT